ATGAAAGGTCAACCTCAGAAGGAAGAATGGCACCTTTTACATTACCTATTAGTACGGAGCAAGAAGTGATGGGAGCTAGTACGGCTTCAGACCAACCTGTGAACCATTTAGACCTAATGTAACAACGGATGGTAGGAAAAGTGTCCGTACGGCCCAAGTAGTCTGAAAGTATAGCAGAGGAATGAGTTTCTTTAAGGTTAGGGAACAGTTTATCAGAAATGACTATACATGTGCATCCAGTGTCTCGTAAAATGGTAGATACATTAAGTCCATTAACTATTCCTGAACAGAAGGGTGCTTGGTCATTACAGTCTTTAAAACATCTTCCAACTTTTTGGACCTTCTTAGAAGGACAATCTGGACGTTTATGTCCCTTAACACCACACAAATGACGAACAGGAATAAAAAGTCATTTTACTTTCCACTAGAGGCTTTGATTTCTTAAGGTCTGATGAACCCTTGCCCTTAGGGTTCGATCCCTTTAGGTCTTTATAGGAATTGTGAGCCTCAGCATACAGGTCAGCAGCCTCAGCAACTTCCTCATCTTTAATCAGGTTACGTTCTCTGATGAATGTTCGTATCTGATGGGGAAGAGCTGTCAGGAACTGGTCAGCAACCATGAAGTCTCTAAGAGATTCATAACTGTGATCAGTTCCTGAACTCTCTATCCAAAAGTCGAACAAACTAAAGAATGTTACCTGTAACTGCTGAAAGTTCTGGCCAGGCTGTAAGGTGGCATACCTAAAATATTTCCTGTAAGAATTAGTGGTTTTTTGATATGCTTTAAGGATTGCCTTCTTCAGTAGGTTATAATTACATATGATATCCTGCGACAAAGTTGCATAGATATTCAAAGCTGTACCACAAAATAACATTCCTAACCTGGTAGCCCAGGTGTCAGCAGGCCATTCACAGAGGGTAGCGGTATTTTCAAACCTGATAATGTATGAAGTTATGTCTTACCCCTCTGTGAAGGGAGGTAAATTAGGTGTTGGAATATGTGCACTAGCTGCACGTTGTTCCATTACTCCTTCATCTAATTGCTGTTGTGAGAAAGTTAACTTTTTATTCTCTAATTCAAGGCGAGCTTGTTCGAGCTCGCGATCCTTTTCTCTCTCCCTTAACTCATATTCTCTGTCCTTTGCTCTTTCCTCAAGTTCCCTTAATTTAACTTGTTCCTCATGTACTCTAGTTCTTTCATCACGATCAAGTCTATCACGCTCCTTTTTGTCTTCTCTCTCTCTTTCTGTCTTTTTTGGATTTCTCTCTCAATTCTCTCTCTCTCCTTTTTCTCCTGTCTTTCAAGGTTCTCTTTCTCCTTTTTATCCTCTCTTTCTCTTTCTTTCTTGATTCTCTCTCTCTATTCTTTCTCTCTCCTTATTCTCTTCTCTTTCGATTCTCTCTCTCTCTCTTTCAAGTCTTTCCTGGATCTTAGCGCTAATGAAAGATTCTAAATTTTTCCCTGTTATTCTTAACTTACTTCCAGCATTCATCCAAAATTGGTATTCCTCCATACTTGCAAGAATAACTTAAACTATCAGGGGAAATGAAATGGGTATTAAAGAAAACGGAGGGTTCAATTCCTGCTCTGCTCAAACTGTAAATAAACCAGAGGGCTCGATCCCTGCTTCAATTAAACAATATGTATTAATGAAAACGAAGGGTTCTATGTCGGCTCCGAGCAAACAGTAAGTAGAATGGGGTCACTTGACCGTCCAATCTTCTCACCAATAAATCAAGAGTGTCCTACGACAGTTCCCTTGATAAAATAAAGAGCTCAATGAAACAAATTGTCACTGGAAAATCTCGGGTCCCTAGAGTCTAATCCTCCAAAGTGTTTCAAGCTCCAAAACGTGGCAGAATTAAATATTATATCCTGCCTGACTTGACTAACAATAAATTGAGACCATAACAATCACCAAATCTTTTAAATACCTGTACTGTAGTCCTACCATAGAGGATGATTACTCATGGATGGTGGTAACCGTCTGTGGTATGCGGCGTTGAAGTTCCAATGGTAGATTTGAGATGGAATTGAATCTTGATTCAGTAGAGTTGATCCTGTCAAGGTCGCCACTTGTGAAGGCTTACTCAGCTCTGTAACAACTTCAGACAGTATTACCAAAGCTGGCTCCTCCTCAGGAAAATTAGTAAATAGAAAAAGAAATAATAACAGACAAACATAAACACTTAATTATATAGAAACTATAAAATATAAAACACTTAAATATGAAATATTAGTCCTACATTAAAGAAAATGAAAAATGAAAAATATAAATGATAACTGAATTCAACGCTAATATAAAACTTGGGTGTCTGGTGTTGGTGACACTGCTTGTTGAAATCGTAGCCGTTGCCGATGATGGGGGGGGGGGGTGGGTGTGTTGGTTACAACCCACTGGCTAGTTCTTCACAGTATAGCTTTGAGTATTCTATCCCAATGACAGGAAAGCAGGTTCTTTCCCGCTGCAATAATGAGGGGTTACATCCTGCAATTTCATACAGGGGCACAAGTAATTAAATCCAAAAAGGGGAAGTCTCAGGACGTTCGTCCATCTCCATCAATTCTACTCGTTGATTGGCAGGTGACCCTCTCTGTCATCCAAGCTGGAAAGATAGACAGGTTACCCACTGCTTAAGAAATCACTCTCCATGATAAGTACAATACTTAAAAGATGTGGTGATTATTACAACAGTCAACTTAGAGCAAAACTGAAAGGACTAAGTTTATTATTTTGGGCAAAAGTGAAGCTTTCAACCAATAAATCCACTAGAATACAAGGCAGGCATGTACTTACAGTAGTGCTGGGAGCTGTGAGTCTAGTGATTACTGTTTGGACCGGAGCCCCACACGTCACCTTTCGGGGGGGGGGGAAGAAGGAGGGGAAGGGATAGCGGAAGCTAGACTGACCCTACCTTAACAAGCAGCCGGCAGTCAAACTATCACTTTCTGGGTGGGGGAAAAAGGGCGGGAATAGTGGGAGCTTGACTTACCCTACCTTAACAAGTAGCCGGCAATGAAACTATCACTTTTGGGGAGGGGGAAAAAAGGGGGGAATAGTGGGAGCTTGACTTACCCTACCTTAACAAGTAGCCGGCAATGAACCTATTGTTACTGTATACTCCATCGCTACTCCTATCTATTGAACTTTTCCCTCACATTTCGTGTTGGATTTGTATCCTTTGTAAGTTCGTCACTCCTGAAGGTTTACTCAGCCTTTCAGATCCTACAAAAGCATTTGACATGGCTGGCTCCTCCTTATGGAAAGAAAATATAGAAAATTCAAAAATAACATAATTAAGATAAACAGTTTTATTATAATAAACATCAGTTAATAATATAAAACAATTAAACATGAAATTAATCCTACTTTAAGAAAAAATAAAAATATACAATTAATGATTCAAAGCTAATATGCACACAATGGATGGTATAACAGTGCCGTGCCTATGTTCTAGCCACGTAGCTTTGAATAGTTCTGGAACTCCGAGCTGTTGTTGATGATGGGTTGGGGGGGGGGGGGGGTCACAGCTGGCCGTGACTGTCTAAATGGTGTTCCCAATGTGCTTATAGATTCTACTAAGGAACGGTGGACTAATCCTCGGATCACCACAGTGTTGAAACAGTTTAAGTAGCACATCAAGACACCAGGAACACTGGTGTAGTTACAACTGGAAGAATGTAGAGTAGCTGAATGACTGGTTGGGTGATAGGTTACGTGTAGAAGGGTGGGGTTGGACCAGTGTAGGTACAGAGGTGTTGCGATGTCTCTTTGATCTCTTGATCAATAATCCTTTAACTTTATCTCGCATGTGCCGGATGACCCTAGCCGACACTCAAGGCAATAATGAAAAACACCATACAGTTACACATCACTCGATAAATCACTCACACGATAGGCATACGGCCTTTAAAAACAATAGTGAGGATTAAACAAACGATCTACTTGAAAATTAAAATCAAGGTAGGAATGACTAAGTCCAATACCCAAAATGATAGTGAAGCTCTTAAGACAACCCCAAAATATTTTTTTTTTTATATTTTATTTAAAACCATACAAAAAGACAATACACAAAAGGAAAAACCATAAAGATGACAATACATGACAATAACTGAAAAACATTACATTAGATATTGAAACAATAACAAATAACATAACAATATAACAAATATGAAAACTATAACCAACTATAAAATCTGATACCGAAACTATCATACTCATATGCTTATGAGTCGGTAAATATACACTCATGACCTGTATGAATTCTCATATGTGTTTGAGCTAATTCTACTCTCATGTAATGAACGAACTCTCAAAATATTTTTAAATGCTCCTTCGGGAGTTATTTATATTTACATTCGCTGCCTGACCACGGTAGAGTGTGGTTGTGCTCTGCACCCCTCTGCTGCTTTCAGGTGAGCTACCTCATTTCGTCTCTCAACCTTTGAGTAGTGAGGACGTGTGCTGCTGCTGCCCCTGGCGTTGATTAGTGGCAGTTATATTTTCACAGCATGGCACAGGCCAGCCAGAGATGCATAAACAGAGTCTGTTGAGCTTATCCGTGGGGCTGTGACAGGAACTTCTATGGACCTGCTACTACCTGCAATCATACGAGATACATATGGTATTGCTAACGAGGAGATATGTGGAGTAGTGCTGAATGGCACGACTAGGATCTTTGTCAAGTTTAACTTGGCAAGTATGTATGAGGCGGTGGTGGACAAGTACCAGGAGGTTACTTTGACAGTTAACTCCGCTGTGACCGTGCGACTTCACGACGTTTCTCGCCATTACACATGGGTTAAGATTAGAAATGTGCCATTCGAGGCAGATGATTCTGACATCCATCTTGCGATGGGCAAATATGGTACAGTACATATGGCCACTGTTGGGAAGTGGGCTACTGGGCCATATGCAAGGATACCCGAAGGAACGTATTCTGTGAAGATGACGTTGCATTACCCTATTCTGTCGTACATAGTGCTGCCAAAATTTCAGACCCAGGTGTTTGTGACATACGCTGGGCAACGCCGGACCTGTCGGTTGTGTGGGTCATATGATCACCTAGCGCTCTGTGTGGAAGGAGGCGTGGCAACATGGAACAACGGCAATGACATACAGCTGTAGAGAAGGGTGAGGAGCAAGATTTGCCTTATGTGACTCTGCATACACAAGGTGGGTCCTGGAGTGAGGAGGTCGAGAGAGCGGAGGAGATTGAGTCAGCAGGTGTGACGAGGGGGATGACACCCCTTCATTGAATGCAGCTCAGGTGTTGGAAGAGAACACCCTGAATGCGAGTGATAGCGATGTGGAAGACTCGTTAGCCTTGGCTTTAAATGTGTTATTGGCTGACAAGAGTATTGGGAAGGTTGGGAGTCCAGATCTAGTTCTTGGGTCTGCTGTGGATCAGGGCGTGGAACAGGATCTGCGGTCTGCGCAGTGTGATAAGAATGTCTTGATGCAAGCGATGGAGGAGGAGGTCCACCGGGACAATGTAACAGACGACATGATGCAAGCAGAGGGAGCATCACAGAAGCGCGCTGCTGTGCTATCTGACTCCGAGGATGTGATCACGCCTGCTCAGCGCACTGGCAAAAAGTCCTGGGCGGAAGTTACGCAGAGAGGACACAGCGGCCCTAACGGGCAGGAGTTGGTTAAGAGCGTTTCTAAAGGTGGGGAGAGGGACCGAGGTGTCACGATCTGGTGGCAAGACAGTACCAGGGTCAAGAAGGAAAACCATTCTGTAAGCTTCAAGTGCATGACATTGAACATTAATGGATTGAGATCAGAGAGAAAGTGTGTATGGTTTAGTGAATATTTGGTGCGTAATAGTGTTGATGTAGTGTTCGTGCAGAAACACAACTACAGACCAGGCTATGAGTTGAAGGTGAATGGGTATAATGTGTAAGTGGAGCATGCGATAAGGTTGAAAGGAGGAGTTGTCATCCTGGTAAGGGAAACTAGCCCGTTCGTAGTGAGGCATTGTTAGGGTGGGGAGGGGAGGGTGATTCATGTAGATGGGTGGTGGGGTAGGGTACAGATGAGTTTGGTGTGTGTGTGTATGGTCCAGCAGAGGGAGATGTGTGTATTAAGAATAAATTTGTGAAGGATGTCCTAGTATATTATTTGCGTGCTTTGCCGGGTATAGCTGTAATTGGTGGTGACTGGAATTGTGTGATAAGGCGTAAGGATGTGGAACCTAGAGGAGCAGGGTATTGTTCGGGGATTTGGGGGGAATTATTAAATGGGGTGGGGTTAATGGACGTTAGGGGGGTGGGGTTGTAGAACATACTTTTGTTAGACGTGGATATGCGGCTAGACTGGATCACTTGTACGTGCCCTGAACAGTAATAGTGAGCAGAGTGCGTGTGGTGGACGCAGTTTTTTCGGATCACAGAGGAGTACTGGTGGACCTAGAATGGGAGGGATTGCCTAGAAGGGATCAAGGTTATTGGAAGTTAAATGTGAAGCTTTTGCAGGGTGAGGAATGTCTTCAGTCTTTTGCGCAATTGTGGGAACGGTTGGTGGATGTGGCGCCGGGGGATGATGAACTGGTAAATTGGTGGGATTCTGTGGCTAAAAATCGTATAAGAGAATATTAAGGGGGAATTAGACTCACTCAGCGCGAACGAAAAATTTTTTCCGAAAAAATTCACAAACTGAGTTAATCTTATAGAAAAATAGCTTAACTCTCTGGCAACACAATGGTACCAGAATCATTGTTCTACGACATTCCTACAAGGAATTATGGTCATTTAAATACACCTAGGGTTACGTCACCACCCGCGACAGGTGTGCTCACCCGTCGTCAATTTATTTTTTTTTTCCGTTTTTTTTTCGTGTATTTACTGTATTATTCTTTCTAAGATAATAATTGTGGATTTGGTATCATAATACATTGGGCGGGACTTATACGTAGAGTTCCAACCAACCAGGAACCTCCTGACACCATTTTGCTAACGTCATGGAAAATTCCAGTCTCGGGGTGGCCGGGGAATATGGCTCAATATAACGCTATTATAGCTTCTACGGCTTATTTATCTATCACAATTGATCTATTATGACATAATAAACAATATAAATAACAAAGAAGTATGGTAAATACTCCAGAATGAATAATATATGGCATATTCCCAGAGCGCTCCATCGGGAATAATAGATTCCCATTCTCAGAGAGGGGCTTCCATTCTCTTTCTCTCACCTCCAGGGTCCTTATATTAGAGAAAACGAACATGATTAACTATGATATACAGTCGTAATGCAGTATAAGACTGAGAAAAATGTTATTTTCTCGAAAAAAAAAAAAAAGGTGGTCCGGCTGTTTCGCGGATTATCTCGGAAGTAAGTTATTCACATATATGAGCAAGTACCTTCGTTAATAATAGAAGGAATGTAATGAAATTCACAGAGAACATAAAGGAAAGATTGTTTTACAAGCTAACGGTTTGTTTTTTGAAATATCATAATTTGTTTTTGATTTATGTGAGGGCAAAAGTCAGATATTTGACTGAAAGTCAAAAAAAATAACAAAATTTTTTTTTTTAAGAATGAAAAAAAGGATAAAAATTACAGAAAATCTAACCACTAGAGATACAGTTTAGCATTGTTTTATGCGTAGATAATGCCAAAACAACTTCTCCAAGTCCCACTTCGACGGTACCTTGCAATATGTATGATTATTAGTAAATAATTTTTTTCTCAGTTGTTTTTTGAGCTATCTTATTGAAACTTGGTCACATTACTATTGAAAGGTGCTTCTTTACGTACAAAAAAAAAATGAAAGAAATCGAACGAAAAATAAAAAAGTTCATGTGGGAGGGAATATAATCGGTTAAAGTATGGGTTTCAAAGATATTTTGAAGGGCAGCTGCGTGACTGTTATGCACGAGGAGGAGCAAGCTATCCAGTGCAGGACATTGAGGGTTTAAAGGATAGTATTAGGGTATTGCAAAACGAGCGTTTTAATGGTGTGCGAATTATGGGAGGATTGGAAGAAGTGCTATGGGGTGATCGGCCGTCGGCTTGCGTGTTAAGAGGCCAGAGAAAGAGGAGAGTGACAACGGAGATGATGGGGTTAAATGTACATGTAGGGATGGAAGGGTATAGAGCGGTTCAAGCATTGGTAACGACAGAGGGTATGAGTAGATATGTAGACGCTTGGTTTAAGCCATATACGCAAAGAGTGGGCATCCATGAAGTGGCATTGGGGAAAATGGGAGAGTATGTGCAGTGTGAGCTTTATGGTCAAGATTCGGGTGGCATTAGGTGGGCCGATTACGGAGTGTGAGATTTTTGGGAGGCGTTGTCAGGAGTGAGCTTGGGAAAGGTGCCCGGGTATAGACAGACTGCCAAATGATTCTACATTAAAAAATTGGGGGTTGGGGGGTTTTTTTTGTAAGGTGTTTAACATACTTAAAGGGGGCTGAGGTAATGGGAGAGCAGCAACGGACGGCCGTTGTGGTGTTTGGTACCGAAAGGGGAGCGGTCAACGGTAATGGATTATCGGGCACTTTCGCTTATGTGTGGAGATTATTTAAATTGTTCGCGAGAATATTTGGGAACAGAATCAAAGAGGGTAAAGGCAAGGTAATTGATAGGGGGCAATATGGGGTGCCAGGAAGGTTGATGTATGAAGGGCCCTGGCATGATTCGAGAATTTATAGAGAAAAAAGGGGGGAGTTGAGTGATGGGGGTGTATTGGCGCTAGTTTGGAGGGCTGCTTATGATAGTGTAGAAAGGGAAGCGTTAGGAGGTTCATGCGTTGGCAGGTTTTGGGGAAAATAATTTTTTGGGCAAAATTATTGTTCGGGGGGGCGTCGTGAGGGTGCAGGTTAAGGGGGGGTAGGAGTTAAATAAGATCGACGGGGACGCCCCAAGGTGCATACTATCAAAAATTTTGTTTGGTGTATAGAGGATCTTTTTTATGGGCCATTCGGAGGTGTGTTGGGGGAGGTGGGGGGTTATGACCGGGGGGGGGGGGGGGGCTGGTTGTAGGTTATGTGGAGCAGGGACTTTTTTGGGTGAGAGGAAATGGGGGACTTGTTTTGGGTGGGAAAGGTGGTGGTGTGTTTGGGAGGTTTAGGGATGAAAATTAATTTTGAGAGACTAAGTTTTTAGACAAAGGGGAAGTACAAATGGGGATGGGGGGTGGGGGGGTGGGTGGAAGGTGGGGGTAGCTAATGATTGTGGGATAAATTTTGTGAAAATACATGGTGCTCAAGAGGTGAATCGGTGGAATAGTGGTGGAGTATTGAAAAGCTTTGGGGGTTTGAGGGGGCGCAACTAACCTGCATCAAAGGTAATAGTGAGGTGTGTATTTTTACAGCAAGGGTTTGGTGCGGTTTCATTACCCGTGATGAGACGTGAGGTGAATGTTTAAAACATGGGGGTTTTTTGGTTTAATTTCGGATGGGGGTGCGAAATGGGGTTTTTGTAGGCGGTGTTTTAAGCTTCGGTCAGTCGGGGGGGGGGTGGGATTTTACCCCCTGGGAAAAAAAAGGGTGATGGGTTGTACTAAACGAAGTTTTATAAGGGGGGGGGGGGGAGGGGAGGTGGACTTGGGGTAGTAAGGTATGAATGGTGGTGGGGGGTGGAATTTAATTTGTGGTGAGGCCATTTGAGGTTATTATGACGTGAGGGGTCCCTCGTGTGTTAAAATTTCGGGTCCCCGAAGGAGTGGAGGTAGGTCAGTGGGCTGCTGTTGAATTTTCTCCCCATGAGGTGGAACGAAAATATGGACGGTCTAAAACAATTACGTGTAAAACCGGGTGTTCGGGAGGTAATGTTTAGATTTTTACGGGATTTTGCCGTTGGGGTTGTTCTATTAAAAAGGAGGTAAGGGGGAAGGGGAATGTAGAGGTGTGGAAGCATGGAGACAATTTTCATGCGGGATATTTTTGACTGTCAGAAATTGTGCGGGTTTGGGTTGGAAAAAGTGTTCGGTTTGGGGTGGGGGGGGGTTTTTAGGTTTGCGGGGGCTTTAAGTTGGATATGGTGGGGTGGTAAGATGTGGGGAAGCTTTGGGGTTTTTTTGGGCCGGATTTTTTTACGTCATGGGCCCTGGGGAGGTGGGCCGGGGATGAGAGGATAAAGGGGTTAGCTACGACATTTTACAGAAAAAAGGTCGAATAGGGGAAATTTATGGAGGGGTTGGGAGGACTGTTTTTCTGGGGGCTATCGGAGTTTTGGTTTAGGGATTTTGGGATTTACGTGCAAAGTAAGGGGCACG